CCAACTAATATTTTGTATTTTTAGTAGAGACAGGGTTTCACTATATTGGCCAGGCTGGTCTCAAACTCCTGGCCTCAAGTGATCCTCCCACCTCGGCCTCCCAAAGTGCTGGGATTATAGGCATGATCCACTTTGCCTGGCCTTCACCTCTGTATTTTTCACAGCACCAAATAAGAGTCCCTTATACATAGTATAGCTATTCAAAAATATGTTTGAGTACTTTTTCTTTATAGTTTCTAGCTATAGTGAGGTTTTTTACTCATATGCTTACATTATAATAGTAACAGACATAGTAATAGTATATTTAATTACTCTAAATTTGATCTTAAAATATCATTCCTGCCATCAAATAAATCAAATCAAATTAGAAAATTCCCTCCAACAAATAAAAAGCTAATCATCTCTCTTCACAGATATATTTAGGGAATACTTTTCTTTTGAATTTTAAGTTATTTCTTTTAGATCTAGTTTACTAAGCAGTATATTATATAATATGTATTATAATATATAATATATAAATATAATGTTAAATATAATATATATTAAATATATACATATTTAAATCCAAATATCCAAAACTAACAAAAGCCTAATAATTGTAAAATTTTACGTAAAACCTTGGGGCTTCCCTAATTTATACCGAAGAATTAACCTTTTATAAAAGTAAGCACAAATATACTCTAACATTTTCTGAGTGGCTATTTGGAGCCAGTATTCACTTATTTGTTTGGCCCTATACTAAACAGATATATGAAGGAACCAAGAGTCCAATGGTCAGACTACCATCCGACTAAGGCAAACTGCTCTTCATTATAAAGATGGGAAATAAATTAGGGCCAGGCAGATAGCTTGAACAGGATAGGTCAGAGTATTTAATTATTAAAAAATACTCAGAAATAAAGTTGGTCAAACAGAAGGGTCAGATTAGAGAAAGTCTTAAATGAGGCATTTGCATCTTATGTGCTAAGAAATAAAGACTGCTGGAGTTTTTGAGCAGAATAATGGCATGTTCATTGAAGAGTCAGTGGAGTAGAATATCATCTCCAAAGCCAAAATGCCTTTTTGAATCTTGATCTTATCACGAATTAGTTGTGTAATCTTTGGAAAGTTACTTAAGTTCTCCCAAGTCTTAGTTTCCCTATGTATAAAAAGAGAACTGTTATGAAGATGAAATGAAATAATATAGGCTAAGTGCTTAGCATAATGCCTGCCACATATTAACAACGTAATGGATGCTATTCCCTCTAAATTAACATGACCAAAATATGTAGGCTGACGAAAGGCTAACTGGAATTAGAAGGATGGCAGCAGAAATTTGGAAGAATTAGATATAAGACCCATTTGAAAAAAGACCTGACGACTGTCAGAATGTAAGATTTCAGAGAGAGAGAGAGAGAATGAGAATTGTTTACTTTGGGTGCTTAGTATCTAGTCCCCTTCCCAAGCTTGGGGAATTTTCCACTGTATGTATGAGCCTTTATGGGAAGCAGGAACTCATCTCCTAGAAAGCTGAAAAGACAGATACACATTTTCCTTGCCATGTACCAAGGCAAGTTTCCTTGCCTTTCCATGTACCAAGTTTGAGTTAAAAGCTGAGCAGCATGACTTATAATCCTTGTGGGAAGGAGGGGGGAGGGATAGCATTAGGAGATATACCTAATTTAAGTGACGAGTTAATATGTGCAGCACACCAACATGGCACATGTATACATATGTAACAAACCTGCACGTTGTGCACATGTACCCTAGAACTTAAGGTATCATAATAATTTAAAAAGCTGAGCATCAAATAGATATTTCATACAAGTTGGAAATATGAGAATAAAATCAAAGTGAGAGTATTATACATAAATATAGAGATAACAGTTAAAGCCTTGAAAAGGAGAGAAAAAGATAGAGGGAGGAGAGTGCTAGTAATGACTCTACAAAAGCTAGCACCAGCTCCAGGTACACAGATGACAATAAGTATTTGCAGATTATCTGAACAATGGAAAATCTTTTCCAATGTTGAAATATTTATACTGTAACCCTAACCAGTTATTTATTTCTGTACCATGCAGTCATCAGGCCTATATCTAAAACTTAAGCATCTACAAATAAATAGCACTATGTTATATGTATTTGGGTTAGAAAGTGGTAGTCAGGGGGTTGCTATTGAATGGTCATGGAAGGCCTCCTTGATAAGTTGTCATTTGAGAGATTTGAGTGAATAATTTCTGCTAGGCACTTCAATATCTGGGGGCAGAGCATGCCAGTGAGAGCATCAGCTAAAGTAATATCCTGGATATGGATAAAATGTTTGGCCTGTTAGAAGAATGAAAAGGCCAATGGGGTTGAAATAAAAGCATCAGTAAGGGAAGAAGTATTAACAGAATGAGCTGACATCAGATCAGAGAGGTAGCCAGAAGTCAAAGAGAGATTGTCAGGAGATTGCAGACTGCTAATGCCAGGAGTTCAAAGGGGGAGATCAATGCATATTGAGGGATAATACACAGAAAGCTACTAGCATAACACTGGCGACCAGCAGGCACTGTGCATAGTGTTTATTGCTATTATTTTTAATTATTTTTTTTTTTGAGATAGACTCTTGCTCTGTTGCCCAGGCTGGGGTACAGTGGTATGATTTCTGCTCACTGCAATCTCTGCCTCCCAGGTTCAAGCAATTCTCCTGCCTCAGCCACCCAAGTAGCTGGGATTACAGGCAACTGCCACCACGCCTGGCTAATTTTTTTGGTATTTTTTAGTACAGATGAGGTTTCACCATGTTGGCCAGGCTGGTCTCGACCTCCCGACCTCAAGTGATCCACCCGCCATGGCCTCTCAAAGTGCTGGGATTACAGGCATGATCCCAGCCTATTTTTAGTATTAATAATAACTTGTGAGAGTGGTACAAAGAATTCTTAAGATACCTTTGACCCAGATTTCCCAAATGTTTACTTTTTACTGTATTTGCTATGTAGGTATTTTTTTTTTTCCTGAACTGTTTAAGAGTAAGTTGTGGCCTAGTGCACTGGTTCACAGCTGTAATCCCATCGTTTTGGGAGGTTGAGGCAGGCAGATCACTTGAGGTCCGGAGTTTGAGAATAGTTGGTCAATATGGCGAAACCCCATCTCTACTAAAAATACAAAAATTAGTCAGGCATGTGTGGTGGCATGTGCCTGTAGTTCCAGCTACTCAGGAGGCTGAGGCAGGAGAATTGTTTGAACCCAGAAGCCAGAGGATGCAGTGAGCTGAGATAGCATCACTGCACTTTAGCATGGGTGACTGAAAAAGACTCTGTCTCAAAAAAGCAAAAAACAAAAAAACAGTAACTTGCAGAAATTATGGCATTATACCCCTAATACTCAGTGTATCTTCCTCAAAATGAGAAATTATCTTATAAGACCAAAATACAATAATCAAAATCTGGAAATTAACTTTTTTTTTTTCTTTTTTTTCGAGATGGAGTCTTGCTCTGTCACCCAGGCTGGAGTGCAGTGGCGCAATCTCAGCTCACTGCAACCTCTGTTTCCTGGACTCAGGTGATCCTCCTGCCTCAGCTTCCTGAGTGCAGCTGGGACTATAGGCATGTGCCACCGTGCCGGACTAATTTTTTTGTATTTTTGGTAGAGACGGGGTTTCACCATATTGCCCATGCTGGTCTTGAACTCCTGACCTTAAGCGATCTACCCACCTCATCCTCCCAAAGTGCTGAGATTACAGGCGTGAGCCACAGTACCCGCCTGAAATTAACGTTTATGCCACGTTATTATCTAATCTACAGACCTTATTTGGATTTTGTCATTTGTCTCAGTTATGTCCTTTACAGGAAAAGAAAATCCAAGATGATGCATTATAATAGCTGTCACATCTCTTTAGTCTCCTATAATCTGGAACAATTTCTGAATCTTTTTTTTTATTTCATGACACTGACATTTTTGAATACTACAGACAGATAAGTTATTTTGTAGACTATCTCTCAACTTAGATTTGTTTCCTCCTCATGATTAGATTCAGGTTATACACTCTTGGCAAGGACGGCATAGATGGGTGGCTGAGTTCTCCGTGCATCCTGTCCTGCACAATGCTGCTGCTTAGTCTGATTTCTGTCAACATTATCTTTGATCATATGCTTAAGTGCTGTGTGCCAGGTTTTTCTACTGTAAATATACTATTTGTATATTTGTAACTAGTAAACATGTGGCTGAGAGACACTTTTAGACTAAGTATCCTGTTGTCAAACTTTTCCCACTAGTCTCAGCATCCACTGATAATTCTCGACTGAATTGGTTATTGGTGGTTACTAAATGGTAACTTTTGTAATCTCATCTTTCCTTCTATATTCATTCATTGGCATTCTTCTGTAAGGAAGAGCTTTCCTTTCTCCCTTATTTGTATAGGTGTGGAACCATGAATACTTACTGATTTCATAGGTTATAATCCTTTACTATTATTTATTTTGATGCTCAGATTATCCCAGATTTGGACAGTAGTAGCCCTTACAAGCTGTTTCCTGTGTCTTTTGACCTGTCTCCATCATTCTTTGACCATTTCCTTTTTTCCGGTCTAGAGGATGTTACACAATTGTCTGGTACTTTTTCTGCCCCTGTCCTGCAACCAGCCATTTCTCCAAAGAGTTCTTTGGCCATATATGTACTTACTAAAATATCTTTTTCTTTGTTCCTCCCTCCCCCAAATAAAAGATTATTTGATACCTTTCGTTGAATCGATTCCCCCAACTGCAAATAATGTACCAACAGTTGACTTCCTAGGTTTTGTCCGAGGACTCTGTAACATGGGTCGTCTCTCTGGTAATAAATGGTACTTCATTGCTTCCATAATGAGTTTCTGACATTCTATATCATCCCGAAAAAGTGCATTATTTTCCATGTCTGCCAGGAACTAGAAAAGAATGGCGGTGGGTATGTATACTGAGTAACTAAGAAAATGGTAGGGTTTACAGAAAAAAATGACATAATTATCAAACGGATTTTTACATATTTTAAAAAAATTCAAGCATAGGCACATATTTTTAACTAAAATATGCAACATTTACAAGATTTACATTTTAAATTTCATTGAAAAAACATGAGTAGCATAAATGGTATACTCTAAAATCTCAGTACTGTAGTGCTTATCTCTGGGTAGTAGGAATACTGGCGCTTTTTAAATAAAGTTTTTTTTACTACTTTTCTATAATTTCCAGATTTTCTAAAATAAATAATTTTACTATTAAAATCAGAACTAATTCTAATGGAAGAATAATTATAAGTGGGAGTTGACTAATTATGCTGCGTTAACTTTGCTAAACAATGTCCAACTAACAACTGCAAAAGCAAAAGTTACCAATTTCTCAAGGGACAAAGAACTCCAAACAGTGATTGGTCTAAAAACATTAAAATCCCTTTTGTGTCACTGAATCCAACTTTATATATTTATATAACACAAATACAATTTTTATATGTTTATATAGCACACATACGATTACACCTTGTCTTTTAAAAAATGATAGTCTTTTAAAAAATAAAATGAAAATACGATCACATTGGAAATTAAATAAAACAAAAAAAATTTAAAATCTTTTCCTTTTGTGCTTGGTTCTCCATCCCCTCTCCCCATCCTGCAATTCTTCCCTGCCTTATAAAAACAACCTGGTGTGCAGCCTTTCATATTTTCTTCATATTTATGCAATCCTCTGCTGACATAATTCTCATACATTTATATGTATAACATATATAAATACATGTAGTAATTTTTACAGTTTTTTCTTTTAGTAATTGTTTTATTATATGCTTTGCTGCATCTTACCATCTTTACTCAACATTATCTCACGAAAATTCCTCCAGGTCTTCTGAAAAGGTATAGTCCTGATCTATTCTTTTTTTTTTTGAGACGGAGTCTTGCTCTGTCGCCCAGGCTGGAGTGCAGTGGCACGATCTTGGCTCACTGCAAGCTCTGCCTCCCAGGTTCACGCCATTCTCCTACCTCAGCCTCCCAAGTAGCTGGGACTAGAGGCGCCCGCCACCACATCCAGCTAATTTTTTGTATTTTTAGTAGAGACGGGGTTTCACTGTGTTAGCTGGGATGGTCTCGATCTCCTGACCTCGTGATCCGCCCACCTCAGCCTCCCAAAGTGCTGGGATTACAGGCGTGAGCCACCGCGCCCGGCCTGATCTATTCTTTTTAATAACTGAATAATACTCTATAGTATATAGATATGCTAATTTTTTAGCCATTTCCTTATTACGGACATTAACTTTGTTGCAGTATGTACATACATATATTCATATGTATATATACATACATGCATATGTAAATATACTTTTTCCTGCTACTAAAAACAAGTCCAGTACAAAAGTCCTTATGATTAATTTTTACCTTTATAGGATAGATTTCTAAGAATTGAATTGATTCCAGGTGGGTCAAAGTATATATGTATGTATGTATGCATGTGTGTGCACATATATGTGTATCTGTGTGTGTCTATGTGTATGATCAATGTTGTCAGATTATTTTCCAGAGTGGCTCATATTCCATTATAGTCATGTATAATAAAGTGGCTCACATTCCATTTTATATATATATAGAGAACCATGTATACATATATATATCGAGAGAGAGAGAGCGCCCTATACATATAGCCATGTATATAGCCATATATATGTATATATGGCCATATATATGTGTGTCTATATATAGAGACAGCCATGTATAGCAAAGTAGCTCACATTCCATGATAGCCATATATAAGAGCACAAGACCACAACATTCCTGCCAGGAATAAGTGTTTTAGCTCTTTTTGTTAATGATATCACATTTTCCCTTTAATTTGAATTTTTCTGATAAGTGAATATAAGTATTTAAAAATATTTTGACCATTTGTACTTTTTTCTTCCTTTATCTGCCTCCTTTTGTCTACTATCTTTTGATTAAAAATTTGTAAGAGTTCCTTATAATACACACACTAATCCTTTATTTTTCAACTGTATTTTTCTAGATTTTTAATCATTTGTCTATTAAGGTTGTTTCATAATACCTTTGCTATTCAAATAATTTTTCATTTTTAGGTCATCAAATATGTGTCTTTCTTTTCACAGTCCTGCTTCTTAGAAAGTCTTTCTGCTTCAGTTTGTAGATGTAGTCTCCTGGATTATCTGGCAAGATTTTATTGCTTTCTTTCATTTAGGCCAAGGATCCATGTGAAATTCATTTGTTTTGGAATTAATGTTTAAAAAGAGTAAGAGTGGAGGAGCATTTTTATTTTCTTTAAGATCAAGAGCCAGTTCTGTACTACTTATTAAATAACCCCCTTCATTTCCAACTGAATTGATTCTTGGTCATATATTACATTCCATACATAGATCTCAAGGTATATGAGGTTTTTTTTTTAATTCTTTATTCTGTTCTATCGATCTATTTGTCTACTCCTATTTCTAAACAGCATATTTTATTACAGTGTCTTTATAGCATATTCTGATACCCGATATTTTTAGGTTTTCCCTCCCTGTTAACTTTCATAGCTTTCTTGGCTATTATTGTGCCTTTATTTTTCATGTAAACTTAAGACAAATTTATCCAGTTTTTTTTTATCCTGATTCTCTTGGAATTCTAATAAGAACTTAAATTTATTTATTAATTAAATTTATTAATTTTATTAAGTTTTGGAGAACTGATGTTTTTATATTAAGTCTTTCTGTTCAAGAAGCCTTTCCATTTGTTGTATAGCTTTCTACATATTATACCTTTCTTGATTATACATTTCCTATATATTTTATTATTTTCATTGCTATTGGGAATGGGTTTTAAAAGTTTATTTCATATATGTTTTGCAGGAGAGAAAATCTACTGATTACACTTGTATTAACCTGTTACTTTACCAAATTCCCTTATTAAGCTCTATGTGTTATGCAAATAATCATAACTGTCACCAAATAGGGATAGTTGAATATCTTTTTCTAATGTGTATGCCAATTATTTTATTATTGCAATTGCTAAAGCCTTCTAAAGAATGTTAAATAATTAGGATGATAGAGTATCTTGTTTCTGGTTTGAATTGATATGGTTTTAGTGTTTCATTATTTAGGACAATAGTTGCTGTAACATTTAGTCATCTATTTTTATTATATTCAATAAAGATAGTATAGATTTTCATAGTTTTTTTTTTTTTTTTCTTTTTTTTTGAGACAGGATGTCTCACTGTTGCCCAGGCTGGAGTGTGGTGGCGCAATCTCAGCTCACTGCAACCTCTGCCTCCCAGGTTCAGGCAATTCTCCTGCCTCAGCCTCCTGAGTAGCTGGGATTACAGGCCTGCACCACCACATCCAGCTAATTTTTGTATTTTTAGTAAAGAAGGGCTTCAGCATATTGGCTAGGCTGGTCTTGAGCTCCTGACCTCAAGTGATCCTCCTACCTTGGCCTCCCACAGTGCTGGGATCACAGGCATGAGCCACCATGCCTCGCCCCTTCATAGGTTTCTTAATGATCATTTCAGTATTCCTGGAAAAAGACCTTTCTGGTCAGAGTGCATACTTTCGATACACTGCGGGTTGTATTTGACTATATATTTCTTTACAATTTTATTGGGGCATATTTTACATGTCCTAATTTATCCATTCCAAGTACACAATTCAGTGATTTGTAGTAAATTACCAAGTTGTGGAACCATTACCATAAAACTGTTCTGAAACATTTTCTTCACCTCAATTACATCCCACATGCCCATTTACTGTTGATCCTCATTCCCGTCTTCTGTCCCAAGCACTAATCTGTCTCTACAGATTTGCTTTTGCTGGACATTTCATATACAGAGAATCACAATATGGAGACTCTGGTGTCTTGCTTCTTTCCCTTAGCATACTTTTGAGACTTGTCCCTGCTGTAGCTACTCGTATCAGTGCTTCATTTCTTTTTATCGTTGAATAATATTCCACTGTCGGTCTACTCCTCATTTTATCTATCCATTCATCAGTTGATAGATGCTTCTTAGGTTGCTTCCAGTTTCAAGCTATTATGGATAAAGCTGCCAAGAACGTTTATGTACAAGTCTTTGTGTGGATATATTTCTCTTGGGTAATTATTACCTAGGAGTAGAATTGCTGGGGCATATGGCAAATTTATGTTTAACTTTTTAAGAAACAACCAAACTGTTTTCTAAAGTGGCAGCACCACCTTACATTCCCACCAGCATTGTACGAGGGTTCCTGTTTTTGCACATCCTCACCAATTGTTAGTTTGTCTCTATTTTAGCCATTCAGGAAGGTGGAAAATGTGGTTTTATTTTACATTTTCCTAGTGACTAATGATGTTGATGATATGTTCATGTTTTTATAGAGGAAGAGGGAAACAGTCTCTAAAAAGAGTCACTATAAAAAAGTTGGTGGCATTTGGAAACTAGCACTGCATACCAAAGGCAAAAAAGCCAAAATAAGACATAAGTCCCCTGACCTACACCAGAATTTACATTTTGGTATTAATTACTCCACATTTTTTTCTATGCATACAAAACATAGTTATACTTGTCACAGAAACCATTAGTGAATATGCATAAAGTTGGCTCATTAAGGTTAATTTTAATGTTTATGTTAATTCTATTATATACAATTACTTTAGTCGTTTCTAAATAAAAACATGTGAAAAAAATGTAGAAAGTAAACTCTTGGGAGACTCAATAGTAACTGCAATTTGAAGCAAAGTATATTTCCTAATATACAGATAGTATATATAAGTTATGAATAAGTAGGATTAATTACATTTGAATTAAAAAAGTCATTAATCTAAGTATCAGATTAATCAAATGGGAGGAACCAGATATCATTTAGAAAATTATTCAGAAGACACTGAGAGAAAACTACAAAATATATACTCTCATGTACTCTGCATTTTTGGTGAATACTAAATGCCTT